GGGAATCAATTTCGAGGTTTTAGCGGAAATGCGCGTTTTTTTGGGTTACCGAAAATATAGTTTTTCCAAACGTCCGTCTGTGCCTGACTCATTTTTGTCCATTTGTAACCATCACTAACTCCTAAACTGTTGTTAAAAAATTAAAAACTGTTGTTAAAAAATTAAAAACTGTTGTTAAAAAATTAAAAACTGCTGTTGAAAAATTTTCCAAAATAATCATTCCACGTTCGATATGAAGAGTAATAAAACGGGGAGTAAATAAATACTCCCCGTTTCTATACTCGAAATCCCTCGATTTTGAAAAGAATTGGTTAAATTTTGGGGGCACTTCACATTAAGCCCCTGAAACATTTTCATATTTTTTAATAGTATTCAATTATTTTTTTAAAGTTTTTTTGTAATAATAGCGATAAATGCGCTTATACATATGGAATTTAATTAGTTTCATTTCAAGTGTTCTTATTACGGACACGTTCCTTTTTCACTTTATATCTAAGGATGTATGAGTATAACAGCACATTCTCTTTAAAATTCAGAGAATGAAAATTTTCTTTTCCATACGTTGAACACTTAACTGCTTCAGAGATAACTATAATTTAAAAAATAAATAATTCCTATTTTTGTGAGATAGTTAGGCTTTTAATTCAAAATATTTTTAACAGAATGATGAAGCTAATGATTGAAAAATATTCATTTGATATATATAACTTTTTAATTATAATGTTTTTAATTATGAATGTTAAAGTACTTAAGTGATTAGTTTCTCAACAAAAGTACTGGAAAGCAGATTTCTTATTTTCATTTTAAGTTATTCATTGCAAGTGAATTATTTAAAATGATGAGAGAGTAAGTGTAGCTTTCATTTTCTTTTACAACATATTGTCAAAATATTTGTTTTATAAGTACTCAAAGTTTCAGTGATTAAGATACAATAGCTAACAGCAACAGAATGTAGAATCAGTATCATTTTTAAGTAGATATGTTCTGTGAACTCTTCTAATAAAGGAGCAAAAATCTTATTTTAATGTTGTAGGATGTACAAAGAATCCAAAAGAATTGCACTTTGAATTTTAAAATGACCATTTCAAAAAACATAAACGTAGATATTATTCCAAGAGTCTTATACGCTATGAGAAGGCAATGTTTTTATCACAAAAAGTTGGTCGATTATGAGATTTTACGTTTCTGAGGCTTCATTTTAAGACCCTCAAAAAATCAAAATCCCTGTTTGAAACTCCAGTGCAGATCGATTGGGATTATCAGTTTGGAAATAGTGGCTGAATGTTTTAGGTGCTAAATTCCACCACAAACGAACGGTCAAACAGACAGACAAAACAGACGACAGAAGACTAGAACGTTTTGCCAATGAATCGAAGTACGTTGAGCACTAAGAGCTGTTGAAGTTTATTTGCTTTCATAAACAATTCACAATCAATAAATGAACAACGAACATGAAATGTTTTTTTTTCCAAAATATTAAATTAGAGAAATTGAAAAAAACATCCAAAATCTCAAATAAGTATACAAATACTTTTATTAAGAAACGAACAAAATATAATAATAAAATGTGTCATAACTGATTTTATAAAAGCTTGACAGGTAATACTATTTATTTTAAGATGTTTGAATTTTTAAACATGTACGTTAATAGGATTAGAAAAATTTGTAATCCGGATACTTCGTAATATTCATTTATCATCTATTTTTAACATACGTTTAATAAATTTTATGTTAATTTCAGACAGTGATAAATTATTGTAGAGTTGAATAAATAAATCGTTTTACGAAATGATAATACTTTGATATAATGTTTTATTAAAAACACGTTTCGGAAAATTCGCTGCCATTATCAAGTAAAACTGCAAAAATCCAACGAGAACTCTGTTAAGCACGAGCTCAGGAAGAGAGTAAAACATTTTTCATGCCGGATTTCTTTATATGCTCTGATTTGGCTTATCGAGTTTTCAGTATCAACCATCATTTATAAAGACTACATTTCAACAGACGCGAATGTTTCCGAACAATACATGTTACAGCTGTTCTATCAAAATCTATCTCATTCCTTCGTCGACCGTTGCACAGTTGCACACCGCTCCTCAACCTAGTATCTGACGTTAACAAGCCGCGCTGGTTTGGTCTAGATGTTAAACCAGTGTGTTAAACCTTCGTATCCTATGTACAGTCAGTGTTTAGTGCAACCTAAGATAGGAATAGGGATAATAGTGCGACATTAGGTGTACTTTGCCCCCCGGCAACGTGCTGCATGTGTTGCGGTGATTTTTGCACAGCGAGGTTCACGAGAGAAGGAAGAGTATAGAAGTGGGCACAGTTATCAGAGGCAGCGGCCCCCGCTTTTCTCAACGGCACGTAGCAACGGTGACAACTACAACATGATCAACTCCATCTATAGCAGCAACATCAAAACCAACAACAGCAACTTCAACAGAACTTTTGTTTTCCCCAACAAAAGCAACACCACCTGCCACAGCACCCACTGACTCACCATCCACCACCCACTGACTCACCACCCACCAACATCTTTAATTCTCTTCACCAAGTATGTCCACCAACTGAACTTTGTGAACCAATCACTGCAGCACAACGTGACTAATGTCTCAAAATACTAAAATTATAAAATGAAAAATGAATTAAATTCGCCAAAAAGGAAAAGAACTGAAAACACTTCAGAACTTTCTAGTGTCCAAGTATACGTACCAACTTCAAGCATATTCAGTACGTTCGTCTCTTTGCCTCATAGCCGACCTGCAGATCAAGCCGTTCAACATCGAAGTACGAAATCTATCCCCAATTTTTGTTTACGTCAGCCCTTCAAAGTTTATATATCTGATTAATAACATTTTTTAAAATGTGAAAACTACTTCTCTACTTTCTTCAGCGTAGAATTTTAAGTCAATACTAATTCAAGCCCAACTTCTAAAATATAGTCATCTTTCTTAATGACTAGAAAGTGTAGTACCAAACATAAAGTGATCCAAAAAACTAGAAACGAAAGTGCTTTTATAAAAGGAATACACACCTCATTTATGGATGCGGAAATCCATTCCGCTCTTGTTGAAAAGCGTATAACACCTGGCAATGTGTCCAGACTGTACAAGTCAGATTGCCCCCCTTTGCCAATGTGCGCAGTATAAATGATTTCAGACAGTGAATTCGAAAAAAATTTTAAACTCGACTTCTTACTTCACTGTGTCCTACGATTGAACTAAAAGGAAAACGAACCAAACCACACTTGCACCTAATGCACTACGAACTGTAGAAGAAATCACACAACCTAATAAAAGCTGAACATACTTCCATAAAGATTGATTTCCACCACCCGAATTCTGTAACCCTTCGTTATCTGAAATAAAATCACTGTACAATCCAGTCTAAAACCTTCCCAACACCACGCAACAACGCCCACCCACTACATCAACAATCGAATTTCCTTCATTCCCAAATGTCCGTCAACCACCAAACTTCGGCAACCCCTCCGCTAACCAAAATCACCTAAATCAATTCCTTATGAACACTGTTAACCAAATTATCTTTCTTAATACCCAAAATTCAAAAGTCAAATCGTCTCCTGACAGCAGTTATTTTCTCGGTTCCAGGTCAATCGCTCCACGTGACAATGTCGAATTAGCACAAAGTTTACTGCGAACATTTCCAAAATATAATATCTCTCGCATAATGTCCCATAAACGTAATGTCCACACAGTAATATCCACCATAATGTTCATAAACGGAATATCCATCGCAACACGCCTACAATATCAGAATTCTGAATCCTACAATCCACTAAACAATGTCTTTAAGTCACATGTTAAACTGGTAGGAATGTACAAAATTAGTACCATCAAATTTTGCTCGATCTAAATGTATAGCCTCACGTATAACAACATTCATATTCCGTTTTTAGCATACTTGTTAGAAACATGAATATGTTGATGTAGAAAATAAAATAAATTTTGAAGGTAATTTGCAACTTATATTTTTTTCGCAGAAGAAGAAAATTCTTGTGAGTAATGAAAATACAAACCACTTCCATTCACGAAGTAAAAATGGAAACAAAATATATTGGAACTACTCCGAAAAGCATTTGACAGTAAAACTTCATTATCCGTATCATTTCCCTGAACATTAACTGCAATGGACAGTTTATGCTACTGGGCATTTCGATTCTGGGCGTTTCTGCAATGAATTTGAAAGTAACTTGGACAGAACTGTAACTACATTGAAGTGGACATTTATACTACTGAACACTTCCACGAGAGGGCATTTTTGTAAAGGACATTTAACTGTGAGCAGATAGTCAGGCATTTTCTCTTCATGGAATTTTACATAATCACATAATCATACCGCATCTTCGATTTCACGTAAAGGGCCGCGTAAAGGCTCACTCTTTGAAAGAAATACCATACGAAATGTAAAAAAAAACTGAAGATCACTTAGCGAATTAAGCTCTTTTGAAGTGTCGTTAGTCGTCAATGTTCTTTGGCGGCCCGTCGCGCGCCTTCTGGTCTCGTCACCCGTCGCAACGCATCGTTTTACTTTCATTCCGCCCGCTTTGAAAGCGCCTGGACGTCAGGGCGAGTTATCCGGCGTGCCCCAGGGATTGTTTTGCAGCTCAACGCGGCTGCGACGGCGACGCCGGCCGCGCCAGGGCCAAGGTTGGCGGCGGCGGCGGAGACGGCGCGGGGTGAGCGTACGAAGAGCGTAGAAAGTCCGCGGCGATTGGCGTGGGCCAGGCCGCCGACGCCGTTCTCCGAGACTCAATCACCTGGTGGTGACGGTGATCATTGGGACGGTGGTGACACTAGTCGCAAAGGCGGGATGTCGGGGAGCGGTGGAGATCGTCGACGAGGTGATGGATACGGTAGCGATGGAGCGGGGGGGGGGAGACGACAGCTGTGGCGGTAACGCTGTCGATGGCAGGGGAGTGCTGAAGGGGACCTAACGGTGTGAACGGTGGGGTCTGTGGCGTAGTGGCGACGGAGATGGTGATGACTGAGGTGGAGATTGTGGCGGAGGCTGTGGAAATGGAGCTCGCGTTGCCGGCAGTCAAACCGTGGGGCTTCCCATCCCCGTCGCTTTTTGCAGCCCCCGCCACCGCTGCCACCGCCCTCCTCCCCGCCCTCGCCCTCGCCATTGTGCCGCTGCCGTGGCGCGCCGCCTCCGCCGCCGCCGGCCTTTCACCGCCAGTCTCTGCTATATTAACCGCCACCGCAGCCTCCGCCGCCACTGCAAGCTCTCCGCTCTCCGCTTCCACTTCCTTCACTCAAGGCTCCATGGCTCACCTGGTAAGTGCTGCCGCCTGCTGGGCTGCTGGGACGCGGGAAAAAGGTACGATAGAATTCTCGAAATCGGGCATTGGAGAACTCATGTGCTTCAAAGATGTATTAATCTGCCGTCAGCGCTTAATGTTTAATAGACTTAATGAAGTAGGAGCTGATACAATAGACAACGTAGGTACGAGTTTAATTTTTGATTTTCACATTTGATTCAACATTCCAAGGAATTATGCATGTATTTCGCAGCTAATTGTTCGCGTATATAGTTTTTTTGTTTTTCAAATCATTTTCCCATATTAAAAAGAATCTTGTTGTTGCGGCGTGTGAAATTATATAAACATCAGAAGTCGTTCAAATTATTCAAAAAAGTTTTAATATTAATTTCTCTAACTAAAACGTATTCAAAGTCACACTATTGTGATATCTTTTTTCAAAGATGAGAATAATATTTTTGGATATCACTATTTACCGAAATTTGTAAAAGTTTATAAAACGCGAATAAAATATAAAAGAATGTCCAATATCACATCATGGTTTCAGAAGATGATAAACTTAAATATGAAGCAAACATTGCAAGAGTTTTTATATTTATAATGAACTTTTGTATAAATACTGTGAGAATTTTCATGACAGTTATGAAAAATAGTTCTTGGATGAGAAATACTTTTCTTTAAACTAAACATTTTCGTTCAAAGATCTATCTAGACAAGTTTGTACCAACTGCGTCAAGACTTCATGACATCGTATTGACCTATGTCAAATGAGAAATATCAACGGTGAATGTCGGAAAACAGGAAAAGTAATTCTTGAGATACAGTAGTTTTGTCTTCACTTGTAGTAGAGCACAGGAATTGTTTGCGAACCAACCTTGTTTAGTTAAGAAAAGATGAAAAAAGCAATGCGATGTGATCTCTTCGTATTGCAACTACAGAAGTAATTCGTTTACCGACAGTTTAATCGGATATCGAAAATAATGATGTTGATATTGATGTTCACACATCAATAACCGTAATTTACATCATCATGCTCATCTCACAAACCGCAAATTAATAGTCGAATAATGCAAATTAAAATATGAACTTATTGTCTTCAATAATTTTCGAATTATTACTTGCAATCTAATCATGTTATTTTGCCTAACACCGTATGAAATAACTTTTCATGAAATAAGACGACGATAATGCTAGTGTTATTAGTAGCTTACAAAATGTTTAAAATCTACATTACGCTAAACCCCACTAAAATGTAGAGAAGAAAGGCAAAATAGATGGCTTAGCATTTCTATAAGACACGTGGTACCCATTTATTCAATGAGAGCGGCCATTAAACTAATGTATTTTGCTAATTAAACGTTCTCTTTTAATTGTATCATGTCCTTTATTTCAGTTGTTAGTACATAATTACTATTCATTACCTACGGATACTTTTTCTTTGTATGCGACGTGTACTGACCCTGTCATGTATGTGAGCGAAGTAATAAACGTAATAATTTTGTATTCAACGTATTAATCATTTAGAGCGACATATCATAGGAAAGGAGTGAACCATAACTGGCAATGTTGGCTGAAAGTAACGATTGGTACAGGAACACGGCGGTTTTAACTTGTGGTGTTATTTGTTACATTTCATTTACAAACATTTCAGTACATTAAATAACAAATAACTAAGTAAATGAATTTACGATACTCTTAGGAAGCAAATAGGTAACACAAACGTAGTTTTTGGTGTGAAACTTTTCTTCTATTGCGCTTGTTTGTTGAACTTTGTTGAGCTCTCACTCTGCTAGTTAAATTAGGTAAAGTGCCAAAATTGTGGGTTCCTTTTTGTTGCGAATACTTTAAAATCGAATCTATAGATTCTAAAGCGACGCAAATAAGTCTTTTGAAATAAAAAAATGCAAACAAAAATGCATAGGTTAATTTATAAAAATATAAGAAACACTTGAGTAGGCCTTTACGCGTAAGGTGAAAATGGATCGAGTTTTAGGACGAATTAATCTTACATGAGCACGAAAGGTCTAACTTAGGAATAAATATCAGTGAAAAAAAAACAACAAGCAATAATTCGAATAACGTTATATGTTATGGCAACGTTTGCATGTTTGAAACAGTTTTATTTAAATCTTTGTGGGTGACTCTCGATCAAAATTTATGATTCGGATATTTCTGACTACCTGAAGCTCATTAGATTTCAACCTTTTTCGCTGTAAATTTATGTTACGGTAATAAATCATCAAAACATCGATTCTCGTTTAATGGAAGGTTATTTAATGAAATATTTACAGGATGATAACGAGTAAATTCAATACTGTTAACTCTTCCGCAATACGTACTGAAAGGAAAATTAATGGCAGTTTATCTCTATTTCGCTTGAATGTCACTCAATACTGCACGGTATCTTATGCATTCAGCCTAATTCTTAGAAATCCCAACGATGGAGCATAAAAGGTCTCTGCGAAACCAAGAATGACATGGATGCGAAGAGCACCAACGTTATTGGACTCAAAAATTAATCTCCGCAATGTGAATTGCAAACAAGGGCTCAGTGGAAGAGGTAGACGAAAGGAAGTTCTTTCGAAAACACACCAGATGGCAGTGGAATTCGTTCTGCATTTTGATGTTCCGATGACATTCCGGCATGAGATTTAGTAATATTTTTTCACGCGGAAAAACTCCAAATTAATGGAATGCTGTATGCTTACGGTTTTTTGCATGTTTAAAAAGTTCTTCCCACATTATTACAAAGGGAAGGTATTTCTCAATAGAAAATAACTGCGAAACATTCCATTAAATGCCATAATAGATTACGTTTGTTTGCATTATCAATAGAATGACCAACTCTTTAATTGTGTTGAAAATCATAGTAAATAAAATAGGCTTTACATGCATGTATTACATGCATTTGCACAATTAATGTTTGCGATATATTTTGAATAATTTCTTTTGCCGTTAAAATTCTGAGTCATCTTAAACTACAAATAATTTTCAATGAATGTAATGAGGCTAAATTAAACGATAGGTACTTTTATTTTCAAATATATAAACGTGTCATTAAAGTAACAAGGTTTTCTACTTTCGAAGGAAATGTGATAAATTTACAATGAAATATTTTTCGTTGAAAAAACAATCCAGAAAGGAGAAGTATGCAATCAATGAAGGTAGCGCGTACACAATTGAACTTCATTTCCCACTTACGATGCAACTACGCCTTTTAAAAACGTTCTTACATGTTGTTCTTAGATGAAATTTTTCAATTTTGACAATTTGTCTTAACTCAAAATAGCTAATAAAAATATTCACAAAATTTTACGTATATCTCTAATTTAATAACAAGACGTTTTTTGGTCCACAACAACTTCACAATTCAGGAAAAGCACGATCTTTCCTTCATGACACTTGTCCCTTCCTCTTCTCTTACACACACACGGACACACACACACAGTTGCATAAACTACTCGACCACACAAGTCAAGTATTCAGGCTTGTCCTGGGTGGAGGTTACGCGTCTGGAGGAGATACCTGGAGTGTAATTCCTCGCAAGCCGTCGTGAAGGTCGCCGCCGGATGTAGAACGAGAGGAACATCGCCTCCTCCCTGAATATAACATTCACATTGACGGGACAAATGACCGTAGCAATAGGCGTGCCGGCGAACATCAATTAATCGACGAACCACCGCCCGCAGGCGCGCCTTCTCTTGCTGGCGGCAGCGGTCGGCGTCGCAGTGGGCGGCGCCGCGGACGCAGACAAGGGCAAGCGCGAGCTGGGCGCCGGTGGGTACGCGGCGGTGGCGGCGGGCAGCAGCGGTGGCGGCGGCGGAGGCGACTACGCCGCGGCGGCCACGTCGGGCGGCGGCGGCGGCTACGGGGGCGGCGGCGACGTCAGCGGGCACGACCTGAGCGCGGGCTACGCGGCCGCCGCCGCCCTCGAGGCGCAAGCCTCCCACGGCGGAGGCGGCGGCGGAGGCGGGGCAGGCTACGGAGGCGGTGACGTCGGCGGCTACGGCGCTAGCGCCGGCGGCTACGGCAGCTACGCGCCCAGCGCGAGCTACGCCGTCAGCGGAGGAGGCGGCGGCGGAGGCTACGACGCGGGCGGCGCTGGGCTGGACGCCGGCCACAGCGGTGGATACGGCGGAGGCAGCGCTGGAGGGTGAGTAGACGGAGCTTCTGCTCGCCTGCCTCTCCTCTGCCCTACTGCTTCCGTGTAGAAGGATCGTGTAGTGATCAATCTTCCAATGTTTCAATTTCAACCGTTCAGTTACTCAACTTCAATTTTTAATTAACTGAAGATCAACATTTGAATAACTCTAGTTCAACCTTTCAATGTGTAATTCAAGTTCAAACTTTCAACAAGTAATTAAAGTTAAATCTTGTAATAGGTAATTCAAGTTCAACCTTTCAAAAATTCAACCTAAATCTTTCTCATATTTAAGTTCAACCATTCCGTATATCAAGGGCAACATCTCAGAAAGTAAAGTTCAACGTTTCAAATCTCTAAAATAATATTTCAGAGTCTCAAGTTCAACCTTTCTAAATTTCAAGTTACCGGTTTTAGTTTTTCAAATTTTCATTAGTTCAAGTTTTAAGATGAAATGTTCTTAACGATTAATATGTTCCGTTTGTTCCATTTATCACAAAAAAGAGGTGTACACTTTTTATGTTTCTCTGCTATTTCTTAGAGTTCAAACAATTGTCTCATTCATTATTATTTAAAATTACATGTTACAATTTTCTTCAATTATTGTGAAAATAATTAACGTTTCGACAAACGTCATTAAAACGAGAAATTGAAGGAGAGAAAATATATATTTGACTTTGATATATATTTGATACTTTAAAATACGTTTTAACGTAAATGAGGCAACTGCTAAAACTCTCGTAGAAAATTAACTAGGTCAAAGCGAAAAGACACATAATTACGTGAAAATAGAATTGCATGGACGTTTCCATAAACACCAATGCTCTTAAATACATCTGTTTATAAACGAAAGTCATGAATATCATTCAGATTTCAAAAACTTTGCCACTGTTACCACACAATATTCATGAAATATTAATGAAAAAGACTGTTATTTCTGCAACTGGCATATACATAGATGTATCGGTATTTTGAAGAAATCTCCATATTCATAGAAAATGCACATATCTTTTGTGTCATATTGTGATTTAACAGTTTCCAACTCTTTCTAAAACTTGAAAACTCAACTTAGTATTAACTAAATATGAATATGAAAATTTGTACTGATGGAAGATCATTTGTTTGCTTACTTGCCCCAACAAATTCGTGCCTACTCCGGTGAATGTAAATTTGAAAATCGGTATCTGATAAGCAAATGAGAGGATGTTAATAAACTGCCAGATGGGCGCAGAAATTTAATTCTGCGTTTGAGAGCACAGGGTGAACGGCATAATGTAATTTATGCTTTTGATTTGCCGTTGGGTTCGTAGCTTGTCGCTTTAAAACTGTTATGAGATATCTGGACCTCACCATTATGACTGAATATAAACGCTAGAAAACCACAAGCGGGGCACCTAATATATGAACCATCATCACATATTTATTTTGTTACCAACTTTCTGAAGTTTCCTTTACAAAAAATTGTAAATGAAAGTAGTTGTCTTTTCCGAAAAATATGAAAAGTTATTTCACTTATTACTATTTTCTATCAGCTTGCCGTTTTCTCCGCAATATCAGTTTTGCATTTTGGTTTTACATATAAGGGTATTATTCTTTTGAATATCTATATGTTCAAATATGTGATGAACGCCTTTATATTCTAATTCCAAGTTTGTTATTGTTTTTTTTTATTTATTCCACGAAAACACATCACACAAAGAGTACCTTAAAATCTATCCTACGGTTTTCTGTTCCAAACACGACTTACGAATGTAGTAAAAGAGTAACATCTTCAACTTATTGAATAATTTCGTTCACGCGTTAATTCCTTGTACTCAATAGCTACATATAAATTTTACTTTTAGACCAGGTTTTGACATGGCAGTTTTGAGTGTAGTGTAAATCAGATTCCAGATTAATTCATCTTTCAGACGAACTAAAGACGATCTGATCTGACCCGAGTATTGGTCTGTGCCATTCATAGCACAAGCCCGAGTACTTTATTGCCGGAGCAGTACGTTCAGAAACGAGCCACGGACCGTGCACAATCTTTTCGTTCATTCATTCATCTTACACACACACATACTCATCCAGCTAGAATAGTGGTCCGTTTGGGCTGTACTTGGAGAGGGCATGTCAACGTGTAGGTCCACGCCGGATCTCTCCTTCCAGCGTGAAGGGCACTTCGCCAGCTCCGAGCGGTAAAATCATTCACTACATTAACGGAACTCAAGACCATAGCAACCGACATGCTCGGAAATCTGAACTAAGAGAGTAAGCGTGATTCTTGTCGCCTTCTGCAGATACGACGCACACGCGGCCGCTCTGTCGGCGGGCGTGGGCGGCGGTGACGCGGGCGGCCACGGGGGCGCGGGCGGCGCCGACGGCCACGCCCTGGCGGCGTTGGCGGCGGCGGCCATCGGCGGCGGGCACGGCGGCGGCGGCGGCGGCCACGGCTTCGGCGGCTCCTTCGGGGGAGGCATCGGGGCCGGCGGCTTCCACGGCGTCGACGGAGGCACCAAGCACATCGTCAAGCAGGTGGCGGCGCCGCACATCAAGGTGATCAAGGTGCCGTACCCCAAGCCCATCCCCGTCGCCGTGCCCAAGAGCCTGCCCATCCCCGTGCACCACGCCGTCGTCATCCCCGTCAAGGTGAGCCACGCGCACCGGGAGTGCCGCGAGGGACGAAAGCCAGCAATCGGGGGGGGGAGACAAATTTGGATC